TTCTTTTGCATCGTGAGAACAGTGGAAGGACATGCTTTTATTTATACAAGGGAAATAACTTTTCCTGTCAATTTAATAGGCTATCTTGGAAAACCTGCTGAAAGTTATTGGCGAGATTTTGTCATGATTTTCTTTTCTAAATTGCAATCACAGTGTTTATCAGGAATAAAGGAAGAAATCTTTTAAATACAATTGCAGATTGCAGTGTATCCTGGTTTCGGCTGGGATAGAGTTAATTTCCTTCCTATTAGCTGGTACAGTGCTGTGTTTTGGATTTAGGACAAGAATCATGTTGATAACACACTGATGTTTTGGTTGTTGCTGAGCAGTGCTTACCCTGGTCAAGGACTTCTCAGCTTCCCCTGCTCTACCGACTGAGCAGGCTGGAGGTGCACAAGAAGCTGGGAGGGGGCACAGCCAGGACAGCTGACCCCAACTGGCCAGAGGGACATTCCACACCATGGGACATCATGCTCAGCACATAAACTGGGGAAAGCTGGCCGGGGGGGCCCTGCTCGGGGACTGGCTGGGCATCGGTCGGCGGGTGGTGAGCAATTGCATTGTGCATCACTTGCTTTGTATATTCTATTATTATTATTATTATTATTATTATTATTATTATTTTCCCTTCCTTTTCTGTCCTATTAAACTGTCTTTATCTCAACCCACGAATTTTACTTTTTTTTCCCCAATTCTCTCTCCCATCCCACTGTGTGGAGGGGAGTGAGCGAACGGCTGTGTGGTATTTAGCTGCCTGCCGGGTTAAACCACAACACAGTGTAACTCAAACTCTCAAGGACATTGGTGGGGGGATAGTAGAGTCTTTCGACAGTAAGGTTTTGTCTTTGCTGCCAGAAAAGTGTATTTTTTTTATATCCAGTGTAATTAACACAAGAGTTATCCCAGGGTAGAAATAATTCACTCTGTGACATAACTGAAATGTCTTGTCTGTGCTGTCTGGTTTTGTTTTTAACCTTGGGCTTAAAAAGAACCAAAAATCTTTAGTTGTAAAAGAGCACATCATCTGCAAAATATTATAAGCCATTTATCTTTATGCACAAATGCCATCTAGCACTGTAGTTCCACTTACGCATCATTAAATGCACAGACCACACTCATTTTGCCCCTAACTAGTAACAGTCTCCCTTAGAAACCCGGGGTATTCCAGACAGTGCTGAAAGAGGCATGAGAGGCACAAAAGCCGGTGCTCAAGCCAGGCAGAGAGGGCCTCTGCCCTCCCTGAGGGTCTGCTCAGGATTGCTTCACGTGGCAGCTGCAGCCAACGGGAGCAGTGTCAGCGAGCTCGGCACGGATGCGTCCGCTGCAGTGGCTTTGCCAGAGGGCTGGCAGACCATGCCTGCTGGCCCCTGCCTGCTCTGAGCAGGCAGCACTCGGGTTGTGTGGGCACATCGCTCTCCCCATCTCCCAGTTCTTCTGCAGTGTTGGGTTTTGCAGATGTGAAGGCTTTTGGAAAGGCATGACGTGGCAGCTGTTCCTGTGTCTGGCTGCAGAGGGTTGTCCGGTGGGGTCACGATCCTCTGTCTTTGAATTGTGTGTTTGGATGCATCTTTCCTGCCTGCGATGCTTTCTTCAGACAGTGTTTGAAGGCCAGAACTGAGCCTGCTTGGGTGGCTGGGTTGAAGCCGTAAGAGCTGGTTTGGGTTTTGGTCTCGGGTGAACCAAAACTACAGGCAGGTGCTGTGCTGGTTGGTGCAGCACTAATATGAATGTGGCTAGCTGTGTGCCATGGTGAACATCATACCCTGCTGCTTGAGGTACCTTCAGACAGGGAGAAAATTGACCAAAATAGCAAATAGACTATTTTGAGACTAAGAATTTTATGACCGCCCTCCATGTAAGTGCTCCTATCCTGTAGGTAAGAGCCTCTGTAAGTCATTCCAGCTGAAGATTTGCCCCAGTAACTGCTCTTGCCAGACAAGCACTCATTCATAGTCAAAGGAGGTTTCTTCAACTTTGGGTAGATGCCAAGTTAAACTTCCACTAAGATTTCTTATACTTGCAGCCACGATTGATTACTTTTCTCATTATTTGATCTTGATATAGAGACATATGGATTGAGCTATGTTTATATCAACCCCCAAAGATTTTCTTCTTTAGGAACATCCATCACAGTTGCATGCAAACTGTTCTGCTCTGGCACTCGTAGCTGATACTAGCTGGGGCTTTCAAAGTTTCTACATGTGGCAGTTGGTATGGATCCTCCTAGAGAGCCCGCAGTGTTCCGAGCTAACCAAGAAAGCAATAGCGGTTTGTTAGATGTGCAGAAAAATGCATGCAAACAGCTCTGGGGAGTGTGGGACGTGGCTGTGCATAAACCTAATTGTTGGGAAGGATTTTACAAGTTGAATCCAAAGCATTCACAGGTTACTAACTTTATACATGCAATAAAAATTCTGAGGGGTGGAAAAAGAAACCCACCCCCCCCACCACCCCCCCCCGATTTCCAGGAAATTTAATGTTAAAACTTGTAAGGGAGGAAGAAGTTCTTAGATGTGAAAAACGCCACAGTAAATTGCCGTTCAGTTTTAATTATTTCTGATGTAACACTTCATTCAGCAACTGTTTTTATTGTTTTCTACTCAGTGGTTTTAAATCAGTGGTCTGCAGATTCCTGGGGTTCTTGGACAGCTTGGGATGTCTGAAAGTTATCTAAGAAAAGCAGGTCTGTTGTTAGCGCATTTGAGTTTGTTGTCCAAGGGTCTCCTCCATCCTCCCTAGAGAGAAGCTTCTAATGAAACCTCTTGTTTCTGTTTTTGGTTATTATTTCCAATTTATTAGACCTTGTCAATCTTTGTTAAAACTGAGTTGATTGGGGGTGGGGAGGGGAGACTAAGAACTGTCACCCTTTTTCCTTTCCTCCTCCTGCCTCTCCAGGCAGGTAGTTTACCTTATTTCTGTGTGTACTTCAGGTGAGCTGCCTGATCAAGCTATCCAAAGTGTCAGAACAGATAATTGTGTTCAGCTGCTCAACATATTTATGTAGATAGCAGGATATTGTTATTGACCTTTTTTTATACAAGGCTGAATTCCATGAGTTGTTTGGGGTTTTTTTTTTAAAGTATTTAGAGGGAGGGATAGGTTTGTCTTAGTTTCTCAAAAACAGAGATAAATGCTACTGCCCTTCATCTCACCAGTCTGTAGCTTTATTACTGGGCAGTTTACATTAAAGAGGTTTATAAATAACTACTTTTTTGTAGTGTTTGAAGGCAGAGGCCAAATTGATGTGCAATATGCAAAAGGAGGACAGCTAAACACTGTTCACAGTTTGTTATTGCTATCTCAGACTCCCCTGTAAAAGCTGTCCTTTTCCTGCAGAACAGAGGTCTCCTGAGCTACAGCAGGACAGAGGTGCAGGCGTTGCATGCCAGGGATGGGGACTGGCACCCAGTCACACGTTGGCTGCAGACCTGTGTGTAAGACCTGGGAAAAGCTGTGCTACAGCCTTCCTTCCGTCTGGCACCCTGGTTCCTGTGCCAGCTGGTGAGAGGGTTAGAGGGGAGCCCTCCTTCCTCCAGCAGCACGCTCACTTAATTGTAGGGCTTTGCTGTTGTCTCTTCTTCGCTTTGGAAACTTTCCTCCGTGGGCACTTGTCTGGCAAATTGCTTCTCTGGTGTCTAGGGCAGTTGCAAGACAGTGGCAGAGTGTGCATGGGCAGACCGACAAGACAATCGAGTCTTCCATTGAGTGCAGGAGTCTGGAAAGGTTTCTGCATGTATCTAGGTATCTTCTGATCAAAAGGTTTGCAAACGGGTAGTACGAAGGAACTGCTATCTTACTGGTGGAAAATTACAAGTATTTGCAGTAGCCTGCAATCAGTTTACATCAGTCTCTTTGGGGGTATTGTGCTGTTGTGGTGATTTAGTAACACGATGGCTGCTGCAAAAAGATAAACAATCCTCAAGATCAGCCTGCAACAATTCGGTATTTTTGTTCAGGCTTTGGTACCCGCTAGAACATCAGTCTTGGAAACGGGACTGCTAAGACTCCCTGAATCTTGTTTAATAAAATCACGTAGCGAGGGCATCATGATTATAAATCACACTTGGAAATTGGCCTGCAGAGTACTTGCTGGGTCATGTGGTGTCATATGCCACCACTGTTCCCGGCTTCTTTTTAATTTCCGAAAAGAAGGCATATAGCAGCAGCTGGAGATAGAGGTGGAATTCATTTAGCTGCTTCGAGAAAGCAACTGCCAGCAAAAAACAGCAGCTCGACAGTCTTGGGTTGGGGAAAGGGAAAGGGATCCAAGTGACTGGAGATGGTGTAATGAAAAGGAAAAGAACCAAATGATTTGGCAGCATGTGAAAGAGGTAAGGACGTGGTAGAGAAAGGAGCAGGAAGAGCTGAAATGAAGAGCAGAAGTAAACAATGTAATTTAACTTATTCAAAAGGGACAGAATGCTTATTAAAGCTCTGAGAGATGATAAATTAGTGCTTTGCTGCTATTGTTGTTTCAGATAGAGTTGTCATATGGTAATACTGCAGCAATGAAGGCTGGAGGCTCACGAATTCATAGAGGGGAATGGAAAGTGGGATATATGGTTACATGATTGAAGGTTGGAGATGATGAGCCAAATGTGCAGCCCTGATTCAGGAGAGCATCCTTACACATGCGCGCTGTTCCTTGGAAGCTGCTATTACATGCGGAAGAGGGATCGTTCAAAATGCATACTCTGCTGCTATGAAGACATATCCCACGCTGAGAGCTTTTACCTTAGTTGGGAGGTGCCATCGAGGCCCTGCTCTAGCTTATGAAACCTTTGTCTGAAATAGCCCCGGAGCCCTCACCTGCAAATGCTCTTTTGCTGTTACTCCTGTGACAGCACTCAGAATGTCAGAAGATCATTTGAGGCGCTCTGGTTGTGAAGTTTTCCCCTAAGGAGTACTGGGCTGGGGGAGGGAATCGCAAAATGATTCTTATCTTACATTACATAGAATCTCTTGCATTACTTACTGTGGCATATTGTTTCCTCCCACAGAGTTCTGCTCAATCGCTTTCAGGAAGAGGCTACTCCGTAAGTCATTTTACAGCTAATTCTTTCACTTCTGTTGATGTTGACTGCAGAGGTTTACACTACCTATTGCATATCCACTGACATGAAAGAAATGCAGAACATAAAAAATAGGGTTGGAGTACAGGACTGTCATGCACCTGGCAGGGGACAGCCCTGACACGTGAGAGCGCATTAAGAGTCTGGGGGCTTCTTCAATTTAATTTTATACTTATAGGGAGGGGTTTTTTTGCTGTTTTATAGTGGATTTCAGCTAGACGGTCACCTCCTGAGAATTAAAAGACATGAGTGGGGAGACTTTTCAACACTGGTGGGAGATGCTTCCCTCCTCTCCTCCCTCCCCCATACAGGTTTTCATTTGTGCGTTAAATACAAGAATCAAAGACAAAATTACTCCATTTTGAGAAGAACTGTGACCCTCACCAGTGTGAACAAAAAAAGTCAATACTCTCTTATTTACAAACTCTGAGTTATAAAACAAGCTCCCTTGTTTTCAGAGGAGGGTGTTGCTGGTGTTTTCTTCGCAGGAGTGCCATAGGTACCAGTGTTTTAGGGCTGGTGTTACAGGGCCAGGACACGTCTGCATGTGTATGCAATGTAACAGTGATGTTTAATTGACCATTTCTGTTCACATGTACCTTACCTGTATGTGCAATAATGACATTTCCTCATGTAGAGGTGGTATAATTATTTGTTTATTTTGGGTACCTTTGCTGCTCAGCTGTCCAAAAAGGCAGGCACATAGACCTTATTGTATATATTAACAAGGAAATAGGAGAAGGTGTGAGTGGCTTAGCAATGTCAACATGAAAATTCCCGGAATTGCATTATATCTGACTCTCATAACAAATGTATGGTGTGTAGATATCTGTTGTGATACCCTGGTTGTTCAGCCAATAACTCATGATACTCTCATTGCTAGTGCAAAGGCTGTAGATGAAGGCATATGCTAATCTTGTACGCAAATCTGAACAAGAATGTCTCAGTCCAGCTAACAGTTCCTGCCTACACTTATTGACAATAATTGCTGTTTTCACGACCTCTGCCATGATAAAGTTTTGCCTTCTAGGTGAATGGTCCCAAGCTCTGTTTCTTACCTACAGCTATAACTGCTCACTTCTGATAGACCAGAACAGGGGTGGATTTTGTATACTTCAGGAAGTTGATGTGGAGAGCTGGTACACATTTTTTTTGCGATAATCCCATGAATTATTTTCTTTCAATAATTTATGTTGTATGTTTAGAGTTGTATGATGGAACCTGTGAGCTCCTACCTGGTGCTGTGTGCACAGAGAAAAACTTTCTAGGCAGTGCAGAATTTATGGTCTGATTTCATAGCAACACCGTCGCATGCTATCATACATATTATCAGAAATTCATAACACAAGACTAAGTACATTTTAATCATAAAGCCATTACAAAATAACGTATGACTTGAAAAGTCTTACAGTTTTAATGACATAATGTCACAAATTTTTAGACAGTAATGACACGTCTCCTTAGTATCCTCCTGTCTAAATCTTTCCAGCATCCCAGGTGAGTATCATTACTTAATTCATTGAGTGATGAGGAATGTTTGCTCTAGGACCAGTTGAGTGCTGCTTCCCATACACATGAACAGTTGGATTCACCTAAGCTGCTAAAGGCAGATACCGTATCTTCTATTTGTCTGTAAAATGCCATGCATGCCTGTGGCACCACATAAATAATAATGAATCATCTTCACAGATTTTATGACTGAGGGCATGGTTTGGGAATTAAACAATTTCCCACTGGCTATAACATAGGTTGCAAAATCTTAATGGAAAAAGGCCAAAGAATTCTTTTTAGAGTCTCAAGGCCAATAAATCATAGGACTGTTTTCCTCCATTGCTGGCTCTTAAGAAATTTACTTTTGTCTCTCAGAGAAACGATTTTGAGAAAATTTCTAGCTCCTTCTCTGTGCGTGTGTGGGGACAAGGTTCTTTTATTTAGCCAGCCCATAACTTCTCAAGGGAGGTAGGAGCTTTCTGCGTGCCAAGGCAGTAGTTTGAGATCATGAGTAGTGTGAGCTGGGGTTGCTTTTCCTTATGGGTTGTCATTTTCCCTATTAAACTGCCTTCTGCCTCACCGTGTACCAGCTGTTGAGGCTGACCGTTTCCCTTAAGACTCTGATGCTGCTCTAAATTGATTTAGCATAAGGCAGAGACTATCACTTCCAGCACTGCCAGACTTCGCTGGCCCAAACCTGCATTGGAAGCTGATTCTCCCAGGTGGCAGAGAGATGTTCAAACCACCGGTTCAAGACAACTGGCCCCAAACCAGGGGTTGTCCATAATATCTTGTAACAGTTTTCATTTTCTCATGAAAGCAGCTGTGTATGAAACACTAAGTCAGTATTTTGGCTCTGCCCCTGTTTACATCAAATAGGTTGTTGCCAGACATGGTGAATGCATGATAAAAAATAGTGCTAGCAGGAGGCACGGTGGAGACACCATTCTTGTATTGAGTGCTCCTCCTGATATCTGTGCACGGCTTGTGTTGTGGAAGACTCTCACTTGTGGAATGATGATATATATCACTACTCGGTGAAGTTCTTGTACTGGGTTTCATAAGCAGCTGTTTAAATACCACAAACTATTTTGTGCATGTTCATTTTTAATTAGCTCGTTTTGAATCTGCACACTTCACCATTCACTTGCTTTAGCCATCCTTGCAGAGATGTTTGCTTTCAGAAACATTTGTAGAAAATGCACATTTTAAGGAAATGTGCATTTGCAAAAAGAGGACTTAAAACCTGTAGTAGTAATCTTGGATGAAAAATCTCAATCCAAGGTTCAGCTCATCCAGCTGGGCCACAGAGAGAAGGCAAGCAAGGCCTGTCTGTGTAGTCAGAGCAGGCTAATGTTGAAAACCTCAGCAAACGGCTCGTATATAAGGTACAGACTCTGGAGCTAGAGTTAAGAAGAAAACTGGATGCAATTGTCTAAAGAATAACTCCTGAGTGTTGAACAGTCCAACAACTTCATTGACTTCAGGCTTCCCATGGAACGTTAAGTGCCTAAATAAGGACCATGCTTGAAATAACTCCGCGAAATTCTGGTGTCATTGAAGTTACCACATAACCTCTGGTTAACTTCAGCTGCACCTAGATTTAAATTATAGCCTCAAAAATAGCATTAACAGTGACTTGGCGCATAGTTTCACAGTCTATCTGTAGATATCACAGACAAAATTTCTTACAAATCTACTTCCCAAAATAAAGTTTTGAATGGCGTTTACTTTTATTTGGATAACATGAGACATATCTATGTCTGTACTGTTTCTGCAAGCTCCTTATCTCATCAGTAGCATGTGTTTCATATCCTTATCTTATTAAATGTATACTTCCGCTGTGCTGAGAAATGGAATGCTAGTTTGTTTATGGAGGTTAATATCTTACTCCCTTTATGACTTGATGGTTACATACGTGTGATAAACTACTCCAGCCATTTGTCACACTTCCTGCACACACAAATGAGATTAGTGATTTTAGTCAGAAAGGTCTGTCTGTCCTCTGAGCAGACAAAGCGGATTTTCTTTTTGGTAACAGGATGAGAGGCCTGTCTACCTGAAAATGCACTGATTTGTTAAAAAATATGCAGAGAATTGGAAGTTAGCTGTATGCTGAGCTTTCTATATATCACTGATATATATCCACCCTGTGGACCGTTTTTCAAATTTATTTCTGATAGTTAAGTCAATTTAGGACCTAACATAGTTAGAAAGTAGTTACAATGAACACAAAATCAGTACATACAGTTTGTTATTAATGGCTAAAAAGTTGCAATTGCTTTTAAGGTTGAGCACATAGTATAGACAAACCCAAGCTGCAGTTGAATTTGACTCAGTTTTGTAGAGAGCACGGAAAAGGATGGAACTGGGAATATGTGGTAGCTTAAAAAAATAAACAGAAAACCTCTTCCAATACATTATGTAGTTTATTTATAGAGCATCTGTGCAGCTGTTCCTCTTCTGAAATGGAAGGGGCTAAAATGTGGGAGCGAATAAAAGAATAAACTTGAAAGCATATGGCAAATGGGTAGCCAGTGAACCAACCTGTCTGAGTGTACCTTGGAACAAAAGTCCTGGAGGATGAGACGTCTTTGTTTGGTTTTATTTGTTCTTGGAAGATTTTTTTTTTTTTTAATAAAAACAGTAACGTACACTTGGCAACAGCAGCAGCTGATTTTTATTCTGAGCCTCTGTAAAATATCAAAGTCTTTGCAGCCTAGTCAAATCCCTGGCAGCTCATCAAATTCTGTTGATTTTACATCTTCCTTGTTGAGCGCCGGAAACCAGTGTCTCAGATAACTTAGACTGCAGCTCGTGGATAGAAAGAAATGTGCAAAACACCATAAGGCTTGCAGAGACACTTGGGTCATCCAGAGTCAACTCAGCGCTATCTGCAACCTTCTTCCCTTCTGCTTGGTGACATGGTGAGAATGATTATCTCGTTACCCAGATGAAGCTGGAACCTGAGGTGGTACAGGCAAGCGCTGGGTAGGCTTTGAGCACTCTGAGCCCTGCTGCACCATCTGCCTGTATCCCAGTCTGTTCCTTCCTGGCTGTTTCTCTCAAATTACGTTGTTGATTTTTGGAACTGGCTTTCCAGTTGCTAGTGATCTTTACAGCCTTCCAGGACTCCCCTCCTGTGCTCTGCCCTTGATGTTGCTGTACAGTGGGCTGTCGCCCAACACAGCTGCCCATGACCACCTTACCCCACACAGATCTTTTTAGCTCATACCCGTGAGCACGCTTGCCAGGACAGCAAGTACTGAGCTGTACTTCACCTGATTTACAGCGTGGAGGTAGTGTCCAGCGCAACGAGCTCAGTGGGAAGGAGGACAGATATGAATGACTGTGAAGTGCTAGGCAATCATCAGCCTAGGAACTCTTGACTCTTTGCAGGTTTATATACCCTCGTATACCCTGTAAAGCTCTTTTCGTGGCCTGTTTTAGTTTTGTGCCAGCTCAATGCAGTT